TGTTGTGCTTGAATCAGAAGCATCTCAAATATCACATGCTCTCTCAACATACTGCAGTAATACAAAGTTAAAATTTGACTAYGCAATGATACCTGATGACAAAGACATGGGAACTGCTGACTCCTTAAGACAAATCAAAGACAAAATTGAGGTAAATACATGGCCTTTTCTCACTATATTTCTTTGACAGACTGGTACTATTGAAATATACATTTGCCTTTCATAAGTAGCCAGCCAAAATGAATAAGTTTGCTCACATAATTGTGATGTCCTGATATATTTAATTTTCAGAAAGACATTGTTTTAGTGAGCTGTGATCTAATAACTGATGTCCCTCTTCACCGTCTTGCTGACATCCATCGTACCTATGATGCATCCATTACAGCTCTTCTTGCTCCTATCCCTGAAACAAACGCTGACAGAGAGGCAGCTGCTAATCCTAAAGCAAAGAAGAAGAAAACTAATAACTTAGGTATGTAATACTTAATGCAGTTTTTTGGATGATGCTTTTTAACCATCTTTGGATATTATACATTTCAATGCAGGATTACAGTAATTTTAATTTTAATAATTGCTAATATATTAACTTTAATTTAACTCTGAGATTCTTATTTTGATTTAGATCAATGTGACTATGTTGGAATTCATTCAAATGAAAGTAGRCTGATATTTTTTGCCCCTGGTGCTGATTTAGAAGAAACTCTTGTTGTTAGGAAATCTCTGTTAAAAAGGTACTTCAATAATATGTACTTGTGCAATATTATCCTTGACCAAAACTTGGAAATTGAGTGCAATTGATGCACTAAATTAGCATCAATTATATTTAATTTTGAAAGTTATATCATCATTATAATGTAATTTATAAGCGATTAATCAATAGTTGATKTAATTATTATGATAGCTCTAACATTCCCCAATGGTTGTCAATATTATTATTACTTACTTATCAGATACCCAAGTATCAATATTGTAACCAATTTAATGGATGGTCACCTGTATCTCATGAAGAAATGGGTTATTGACTATGTTGCACAGAATAGGTAYGTTCTAAATTAGCAGAGGAAAGCGCTTCATGTTATGTATTTAAAGGCACATGGTATCTGAGAATCTCTGAGCAATTTTCACATGAAAAAAAAAACATCTTTGATTTAGAGCCAATCAAAAAGCATTTTTCAACAATCAATTATTTATAAAACAAGGCAAGTATATGTGGGTCTTTAAACATTATTTGCTCATCTAGTCTRTTTTCTCTGCACAGTTCCATAAGCACAGTAAAAGGAGAACTTGTCCCTCACTTGGTGAAGAAACAATTTCAGAAGGAAAAGATACTAAACAGGCCTTTATATGGAGCTGATACTAGTTCAGTTTCTGTAGTCGGAGATGACTCTAAACCAGGTATGTTTTTGACATGTTTTATTATTTGAGTAAAATGCATTTGATTTATTTCCACTTTTTTATGTTTAGATCTTTTAAGTTTTGCAATTGAAGATGAGATTACTACTATCACAAGAGATTACACGTCATGGAGCAGCTCTGGCTCAACAGAGTATCAACRTGGGAACAGGATTCGATGTCATACATATGTCATGGACAGTGGATTATGTCTTCGAGCTAATACTTTGCCAATGTACATGGAAGCAAATAGATTGGTAAGGCAAGCAAATACTAATTTATTGACATTCATTGTTGTCTAACAATAGTTGAATGGATTGTTTTTTCTTTAGATTCCTAAGCAACTCTGCCATTTATCGTCCAAAGATATAACCCTTGTTCATCCTTCTGCCACCATTAAACCAAAATCACAGGTACAGTGTGTGTCATTGAATTATTATTTCACATAGTGGAAAATGATGAGTGGTAAATAACTGTCATTTAGGTTGGAGGTGACTGCATGGTTGATGAAAGCGTTTCTGTTGGAGAAAAAGTCTCAGTCAAGAAATCAGTGATTGGCAAACACACAACTGTTGGAGATAGAGTTAAAATAACAAACTCTGTTATAATGGATCACGTCACAATTAAAGATGGGTAATTATATTCTACTAATGTTAATAATTTTTTACTGTGGTTGATAACAGACTTGTAACGTCATATCACTGTTTTGTAGTTGCAACATACAGAACAGCATTATTTGCAATAATGCATACATCAAAGAGAATGCATCTCTGAAGGACTGTCAAGTTGGTAATGGTTTTACTGTTAATGAAGGAGGTATGAGTTTCAGTTTATCAGTTTAAGAGTGCTTGATAGGTTGACTAAAGTATCATTCTTATTTCTAGCTGAACTCAAGGGAGAGGCTCTAGTCACAGATCAGCATATGATGGACTTTGAATAAACATTTTAAGAGAATACAATGTGGAAACTGTACTGATAATGCTCATATGGTTGCATGCATAACAGCAGCGACCTTTCCCATTCCCCTCCCCCAGTGTCTGTAGTTCAGCTTTGCAAGCTATCACATTCAAAATTCACTGACAAAGGCCACCATTGAAACCAATAGACAAGAGATTGTTTTGTAATTGTTGATTCAATTCACACTGCCCCTAGCTACATGTAAAGTGTTCATACAATTTCAAAGCAGATTCTTTGGGGGTGACAAAACATTGATAGCAATAAACTTCAAAATGGTATGGGATTTGGGGCAGCTTGGGGGAAGGAGAACTATACAGAAAATATACTGTTAAATAAGTTATTTTATTTATGCACCTGAATTAAAACCATGAACTAATAAATAATATGGGTGAAAACATAAAATGCAATCATTTACAACTTTTGCCATATTAMACTATATACAAAACACTAAAATATGTTTCATTATCTTTTTGGCCTAAAAAAATATTTACACTTACAATGTTGTGGAGGATTTGCTGACAGAGGAATACATTACATGTAAACCTCAAATAAACACTTATGTGTACTTTGGACTTGAAAATGCTTACTGAACAGGCATACGTGAAAAGTACCAGTTATGTATAATATACATATCAATGTTTTCAAATGTGTAATGTTTGTACATGAACATTTTTTAAAATTATTTGACCAAAACCTCATCGATTCTTTCAATTCCCAACCATTCATCTTCTTCCATTTCCTTGMAACWCTTCTYTAAAATTTCTGYCATTATTTCGTTGAACTCTTCGGCATTGTCAACGTGGATATCGTGGCCAGCATGYTTCACTATGTAAACATCAACACTTGACTCAGGACGAATACATTTCAACTCGTATGCTGTACGGTGATCAAAAAACGTCCCTGATCCATACATAACTGAAATAGGGACATCTGAATCAAGATATCTGATTCTCTTGATCATGGGACACTTTGCCCAGCCAAGAAGAAAGTTCATATTTCTGAAGGCGTTTTCTCCGGTTGGTGTCTGAGCGTTGCAATGGTAGATGTATTCAAATACAGTTTTATCTTTCCACAGYTCTGATCTTTGTTTATTGGGATCGTATCTTGCAAGGCTTACTAGCCAAGGACCCAAAGGCCCTAGAAAGCGTATTGGAGAGAGAAAATTCATGGAATTTGTAAGATAATTCCCCAGACGAATCCATATCGGTAGCTTGTCATAGACAAAATCGTGATCTGGGTGTCGGTCTACCATACCATASGGTAAAATAGGAAATCCCCAAGGATCTGAAAGAATGAGACGATGAATCCTCTCTGGATGCTTTAATGCATAAGCCGTCACTAGATAACCACCCAAGCTATGMCCCAATAATATGAATCTTTCAAGTCCAACTACCTGTCGCCATTGCTCGAGGTAGTGAACGAACTGTTCCTCCGCCTTTTCAGAGTMGGAMGGGAATTCTGGCCTGGAACTTCGTCCAAAACCYGGCAAATCAATGGCATAAACGGTGTGATTTTCACTCAAGGCATTGTAATTCTGTACCCACCAACAAACACCACTGATAAACCCGTGTATAAGAACAAGCGGTGGCTGTCTGCTTGCATTCTTGTTTACTGTCAAAGTCCAAATCTCAACTCCTTGGTCGACTTTGACAAAATTTCCCTCCCATRGCTTATTTATTCGCTTAAGAATTTGATTCTCGGCATCTTCAAGTTTTTGAGTAGACGTAGGAACCCAATAACTACCAGCCCAGTTAGCAAGTTTCCCAAAAGGCTCTATGAAAGCAGCCATCTTTAAGAACGAAGTTTGTTCTTGTTGTGATGTTTTTGTTTTCATTGCAAGAATGGACGAGAAGAGTCTGGGGAGAGCATTGTTAAAATTCCTTACTCTCTGGGCAGAAAATCTCCTAGTAACAAAGTTAATTATCTAAAAAAAATAATAATCAAGTCAAAGTCAAAATATTTTCCATTTCTAACATATGTTTTTTTTATAAATAAAAGATTTTAATTTAATTTGATACTGACCCTCTGTTACAATTATAAAAAAATACGATTATCGGCCTGGGACGTCATTTGATTATATCTTCGATTATATCTTCATTTTAGAGTAATTTTGGCTTTGAAAAGTAATTTTTTTGGAAGAAATTGTGATTTTACCTTTACTGTAAAGGGTTCAAGGCTTCCTGTGGATAAACAAGACGCTAGAGACTAGACACTATTGTTTTGGCGGGAGCTTATCGTTGCCATGGACAACATGTTAGTTTGAGAGGAAATCAAAATGGCCGACATTTCTTGAAGTTTGATCTCTCTTTTCTAGCCTATAAGTCCTTCATTATGACTGATATATTGTGCCGTTGGCTCAATGACGATGTTGGRCTTAGCCGATACATTGGTAAGTCGAAATTATTTAGTCGGAAAGATTGAAAATCGCTTGTAAAACTACATGAGTTTCTGTCAGATCCTCAAAAATAAGGAAAACATAGAAGTGTATCTTTTAAAACAAGGCTAGCTAAATTCAAAGCTCACACGCTTGACAGTTGTATTTCAGCAGTCAATTAAAGCGAAAATTGTACAAAGTTGAAATACAATGCAAAARTTATACACTAAATTGAGCTTATGTCTACTGGTAAACTTGTTCAATCCTTTTCAGATTCGTCAAACTTTGCCAAAGAGTTTGCCACAGGATATCTTGTCGGTGAACTGCTAGATAAATATGCACTGCAAAATGATTTTGCAGATTTTTCACAAAGCACGTAAGTATAATTRCATGTACATTTGTGTAAATAATATAAGCTTACGTTTCACAAATAAAAAACATATGTTAACATTAACAGCTATTTTGCATTTTTAAATAGCACTTCAGACTCCAAGCTGAATAACTTCACAAGGCTTGAACCTACACTGAAGCTTCTAGAAATACCATATGATACTAACATAGTACGTACAGTTATTATTTATCGAGTATACTTATACCTTGTATGTAAAACTTTTCTCACTCATTACCAGTGCCTTCAGGCATACATGAGATATTAGCAAGCGCATGTGTCAACTCAGTACCTATCTCATGTAATACCTTGGCACTGATGTAATTCAATAGAATTTTAATCAAACTTGCAGGTAAGTCTTGTTTATTTTTTATTCATATAATATGCCTTCTTTATCTTGTTAGGCTCGTTCTATTATGAATGAAAGTCACAGTGCAACTACAAGACTATTGTATCAGTTGTTTATCACTCTTGGAAAGAAAAATGTGAGTTTATTTTAAATTAATTTCTATAAAATTACTTAAGTTGCTCTAACCATGTATCCGAGGGTATAAAGGTGTGTTACCTGTGTAATACTGCCAGTGAAGATAGATAGAGGGCATACTTGTGTCATACATGTATTTACTGCAATACATGAACAATGTATTTTACTGTAGTTGAGTATTTGTGTATCCAAATTACTAGCAATGTTTTAATTGTATACATTTTGATATATCTCATTAGAAAATGGGTCTAACTGGTGTTGCTATGGAAACCATGAGGCCAAGTGGACCCGTCAAGCTTGAAAATATTGAGAGAGGCATATACAAGGAGGTAAGATGCTGTTTTGTGGTTCATTTGAACAAACATTTGATATGATTTTGATCTTTCACTTGAGGAATAAATAAATAAATCATTATGATGATAATAAATATGTTYCCATTTGCATAAACTAAAACACTAAATTTTGAAGGCATCATACATTGATATKCCTTTTTATCCATTCGATATAATTGCTAAAATAAAATAAAAACAAAAGTTAATATTAATTCCTAATATTAAAACAGAGATTTTCTTGTCTATCCCAAATAGAAAAGCCCTTTACAAGCTTCCATGTACACTTCACAGGATATTCTTGATAATACGGTCAATACCTTATCCAGAGAACAGATTTTAGAAGCCTTAGATGAAGAAATCAAGACYACTGTAGTGGAACTTGTAAAGGACTTACAAGAAATCTCTGTGATRTTAGTYAGTGACACCAAATCTCTTATWAGCGACGTTAAAGAAATAAGYCATGATAAACATTTAGCACATAAAACCAGAAAGATTATGAAAACAATTTTACAGACATCAAAGRTTGTCATGGATTTTGTGCATGACATTGATGTTGTTATTAAGAGTTTGATATCTCAGTTTGATGCTTCACCTTAGTTGTCTCCATTGCTGAGTAATTTTACTTGAAAAACCTCAAATAACAGACCGGATACATTGCTAATGATGCATGTATGATATGTGAAGTTGAAGTAACACAACTTCTAGAATATAAAGGTTTTTTAGTAATGTTATCTGCGCATACAATAGTGATGGCAAATAATGATACGAACACATACAAAGATATAAAAAAAATATGTAAAAAGAGATTTTGATTTGATTGATAAATTTTTTATTAATCATCAACCTTACTAATAATATATGTTTAAAAATATGTAATAAATGAACATTATTTTCAAATTAAAGAAGGTCATTACTGAATAAAAGAGATTGATTAAGTTACATGCCTCATGATCCTAAAACAATTAGCCAGATACACCATTCACTTGTTGGTTGACAGCCAATACATCAACAGAGATGTAGATACTGGGAGTTCCATTGCAGCATTTCAAAAGAACATTCTTGAAAAAAGCAGGGGATGGGAGGGACAGATCAGTGCTTTCAAAATGATAACAAGTACTAGATGGTTAGGAAAATAGAGTAGGTGGCTGTGCCCAATAAGCGGCAATAAAAGTCAAGTAAAAATTATATTAACTTTTATATTATAGTAGCCAGCGATTAACTGCACCGGAACTCCGGCAGCCGCTAGCTTATTTTGAAAGCACTGGCAGATACATCAATAGATATAATGGCATTTATTACAAAATGCTTTGCAAAATACACATTGAATATGTTCAAAATGATGATTCCATGATAACAATTCCAGAGACTAAAACAGTTGACTAAGAGACAAGTGGATCTAAACTTTGAGAGCCTTGTACAGCGRTATCAAGCCAAACAGAGAGAACAGGAAGAGATGGCTTTAAGGGCAAAGTACGTCATCATCATTGCTCTATAAATAAGAGAAACAATGTTCTTCTTTCTCATAATTTATTGTCAGATCTTAATGTCTGGATCTTCTGTTAGTTACTTAATACTGAGTATCAGTCATCATCACCATCATCATTTTTTATCAGTATGATTCCTGTCATCATCACAGCCACCATTATTATATCTATCAGAGTGTTTTATATGCTTTTATAAAATTTTTGATATATAACGCACACTCTGATTGGCTTCTCTTGTGTTTTTCGAACTGTGTTTATATCARAGGACAGAGACAGGCGTGCCGTTTTATATTTCTTAAACATGTAATTTGATTTTTTGCAGGAATGCAGAAGAAGAGAAAATGAAGAAATATCAACAAGCACAGAGAAAGAGAGAACTAGAGAAGGTGAAAAAAGTCACAAATTCCAACCTGTATATTATTACCAGTGTACATTTTGTGTGTGTTAACTTTGTTGTTTATCATGATTAATCAGTCCAGGAATATTAAAAACCGCCACCAAGAAATAATGGACAAGATAAGGTACCTAATAATAATATTGTTATTTACTCTTACYGATATGAAGCGTGTTGTAAYGCTTGACCTTCATTTTCTACAGCGAGGCAACAGTGAAGATACCCAAACMACCAGAGGCCAGGGTGAGTTATTTTTTTACAATTACCGGTATTAATTAATGAACATTGAATGAATAGGTGAAGTGCAGACAAATGAATAAMTGAACAAATGGGAAATGGGAATTATAACGAGATAACTGTGTATTAATGAATGTATGAGAAAGATGCCAATAAATAAGTTACGTTGTATATGTTAGCACCCATATGATTGTTATATATATTTATCTTCAACTTATAATCATTTGAAAGCTTTTCTCATTCAAACATTTACATGTATGCCCAATAGAAATCAGGAAAGTCAAGGAATGAGCTYCGAAAGCAAAGGGAAGCAGAGGTAAGTTTTCCTAATGAACATCTAATTGAGTACATTCTGACATTGTATGTTTATTATTTATGTGATTGTTTTGGTRTTATCTTTGTAGGAGGTTAAGAAAAATATTGATGCTTTTGAAGCCAGTCTAAAGGCTACCATTCCTCCAGCCAGTCCAGCTAGAATGGAAAAGTAAGTTATCATGGACGTTATCATGGATATTTGCCAGGACTGTCACATGGTCATAATAGAACAGGAGTTGCTAAAAGTTACAGGATAAGTAATACAGAAATACAGGTAGACAGACTCTTTCTGTGGAGAAATAAGGTTGCCTAATTAATATAACATCTGTCAATTCATCCATCCATTCCATAATCCTTCTTGGCCTTCCATCCATTCAGTCAGACAGTTATATAGTCATACTCGATCAGTCATTAAAGACTGTCAGCCAGCGAGTTATTCCATCAATTCACTGTTCACAGTGTTCTTAAACTTGTCATTTCTCTTGACAGTGGGTCACCCAAACCTGGTCATGATGTAGAYATTGATACATTCATTCCACCACCACAAACTGCTAAAGGTCTCTCKGAACCATTGTCAAGCATCAAGGTATAGTTTGACCTGATATGTTTGACTTTTATACCTTCTTGATACCAGAAACAGRCATACTTTATATCAGTTCCTTTGGACCAGTGTTTTTTTATTCATGTTTATGATTTATCATACATTATTTTATATATTATTATTTCAGCCGGATGCAAGTAGAAGCTACATCAAYAAAATAAGAACAAGACTTGATGAAGATGCTGTGGCCAGACAGGTACAGCCTGCTATGAGTGATTGTYTTGCTAAATAAACCACCAATGCAAACCAATCATTTAACAAACAATAACTCAAACATAAAATTAAAAAAAAAACACCCTACCAAC